CTCCTTGACAGTTCCTTGACTACAGTGTTGTTTTCTGCTTAATTCTTTATCTCATGTTAAATCCTTTTTATCTGGATGTTGGCTGCTGAAGAGGATGTGTTCTAGTCGTTTTGTTTCCTTCTTAGCTTTTTTATTGTCTCTTTAGAATGGTTATAAATATAGTTTATCTCTATGTGTCTATTGATGTCTGATTAATCTGAACGCGAAGCTTCCAGGTATTTCCTGACATTTTTGGATTTGGCTTCATCTAAAATGCTTACAGTTCCTTAGTTGAAACTGGGGTTGAGTCTGTCCATGTGTTGTGAAATTAAGTAGTTTTCATTGTGCCTTCTCATTTCTAGTTGTTCATAGATGCATTCTGCTAGTCATTTGCCTGTCTGTCCTACATTGTGGTGTTATAGTCCTTAAACTGTATGTTTTAAATGACTCTTGGTTTTTCTTTTTGGACTATGGTGTTTTTGTTTTTTTCAGATGTTTTGGAGGGCTTTAGATGGTCGAGTCTACAGTATTAGCATTTGGTTGTAATAGTCTGTTGGTTATTTCTGAGATTTTTAAAAATGCATTTTGATATAGTGTTACCCTTTTCATAAATTGTGCCCATTTGCTTATAGTGAGTTGAGTGATCAGGTGCTTTTTGATAAAATTGGTATTCATTTTGCTGGAAGATCTTGTATGGGTGGTTATTTCCTGTTTCTGGTGTTCTAGTTTGCTACAGTGCATTTGATGCTAATCTAGGTAATGTTCTTGCATTCAAATAAGTATTCCAGACTTGTATAGTTTCCTTTCATCAGCAGGTGGTACTCTCAACTTAAATTTCAGTATTGCCACTAGTCAGTCTGATTTTAATTATTTTAATCATAATTTTAATTGTAATTCAATTATAGAAACAGGGTAAGTTTTTTAAGTAAATAATTCCAGCATTTTAAAATGCCCTCCTATTACCACGTCTTCCTAGTTTAAGAGTCCAATTTTCTGTATTTATAGAAGTTTATTGTTTTCTCTCTTTGTCTTTTCCTTCCGGTCTGGTATTTTTTTCAGAATGCTTAGTCGCCACTTTAACAAATAATTCTGAGCAAGTAGTTCTAGATTATTCCTTGGGGTTAGGTTTTAAATAAGAAAGAAACCTCTCTCCCAGTTCCAGTCACTGTTCACCGACTCCTCTCCAGCACCAGTCTTAGTTGTTTCTCGGCTGTCCCAGCTTTGTGGCAGCCATCTTTAGGCTGCGTCTTCTCCTTGTCGTGGCTGAGAGGGAAAGAGAACCCCAGGTCAGGCAGGAGAGTTGCAACTCTCTGCGATCTCCCCGGGCACCCCTCTTTGCTTCACCGCCCCTACAGGGCAGCTTTGGCTCCTTTTGAAGCCCACCGACAGGGAGAACTTGGCATGGGAGTGCAGAGACCTGCTTCTCATGTCCAAACTCATCATGACATCAACCGGAAGCCAGGAGGGTGTGATTTTTATTGGCTTCATTATTGCACAAAAGCCAAACCTTGGTGATTTTATAAAGTGGAAGGCTCTCTCAAGAAGCCCAGAGGCCCAGAAGCAAGAAGGATGCCAGTAATTGCCTAAGGAGCAATAAGGAGGGCCAGTGCCATCACCCATTCCCCCCTCCACTCCAGTGGAAGAGAGAAGCCTGGAGAAAACATGCAAGGATTTGATCCCAGCCAAGCAAAAGCTCAGGGATGTGTGGGGGGGGGGACTCATCTACCTGGCTGAGAGAGAGAGGGGCAAAGGTGCACAGCATAGGGGAGAAGGTGAAGAAGATGAAGAAATGTCTCTTTCAACCAGTCCAGGGCAGAGGTCATTCTGGACAATAAAGGACCCCTTCATGAAACATGATTGCAGGTCTACCTGCCCATCCTGTATTTCCTTCTCTTCCTTTCTTGGTTTAAACAGGTCTTCTAGTCTTGAGAGGACATAAGAGGTCCAGGTCCTCCTTGAAGTCTGGCAACTTATGAATCAGGATTCTGCTCCTTGGTCATATTCTTTACAAACCCCTAGCTAGGAGCTTTGTGCACATGCAAAGCTGAGGAGCAACTTTGTTTGGATCTCCCCTTGGATTGCTGTACCTCAAGACCAGAAGCTTCTAAAAAGGCTGAGGACTCCTCAAGTTTATTTCACAAATATTAACTGGCACAGAGAACAGAAGGGGTGACTGTGGACCCTTTAACCTCCCTTGGGTAGACTTCTCATGTTCTCCAAAAACAAAAAGAGATCATAGCAAATGAGACGATTTCCCCCCCCCCCCAAACTCCGATTTTTTAGAAACCTTATACTCTAAAGAGGGTAAAGGAGTAGGAGGACCAGCAATTGGTGCCCAGGAAAGAAACGGGATCTGTGCAAGAGATCTTCCCATCTCCACTCTGCCCGTAACCTTCAGGAACTTGTGATCTGATGTGATCCTGAGTTAGTAAAAAGCTAATAAAAGACACCTGATTTTGTCAGGAACCTTGTTCAGTGTCTGTCAGGACCTAGGGCTTTAAGTCCAAATCTCTCAGAAATGTAGCTTTGTCAACCATTTCTAAAGGAAGTATTCTTAAGAGTCGAACTGATCAAGTGACTCAAACCCTCTCGCTTTGAAAGTGCAGCTGTGAGGATGAGGGCAGAGCTTGAAGTTCTGCCTGCAGTCTGGGACAGCAAGAGCACTTAGACTTATATACTGTTTCATACTGCTTTACAGCCTCTCTAAGTGGTTTACAAAGTCAGCATATTGCCCCCCAACAATCTGAGATCTCATTTTACTGACCTCGGAAGGATGGAAGGCTGAGTCAACCTTGAGCCAGTGAGAATCGAATTGCTGGAGTGAGCAGTGAGTTAACCTCCAGGACTGCATTTTAACCACTGTGCCACCATAGCTCATGGGATGGTTCTTTCGTGTTGCCAGTTTCATGGACTCTTCTCTTGGGAATTTGAGTTGGAAGAAGTTTGAAACTCTTGAGCTGGCTGAGAGCTTCTGCTGAAAACTGGGTGCATCTTTTGTACTTGGAGCCTGAAGGACCCATTCTTTGCCTATCCAAAATAAGAAAAACTCAATGGGTGTGAGAAGGAGTTCTCCTCCTCCTGCTTTGTCCATGCCCCATTTCTTCACAAAAGACCATTCTGAAACCAGGCTAACATTGGAAGCTAGAAACAACGGGCAGTTCTTGACAGCCAGGAAGATGCTTCCCTGTCTTTTCCAAAATATTCCCCCAAAGTTTAGCAAGAACACCCATGGGAAATAGCACTAAGTGGGGAGTCCATGAAACCATATTTCCCCAACTGATTGTCTTATGACCAATTCCCACAATCTTTGGGCAGCATTCAAGTCCAACGTAAAGGCTCCAGTATCTTGGATGGCATGGTGGTAGGAATTGCTTTCTGTTCAAGGTACAGAGAATGGGGGGCAGAAGAGAGTACAAGATCAGAATCTGGTTTGATCTCTTGCAAACCAATCTGCAAACCAATTAATCTCTTGGATTAATTGTCCACACAACAGGGATCGTACTTCTAGAAAACATCAGAGAAATAAAATTGGGCAATGTGAGATTTAGACATGAGAAATAAAAAGCATTCCAATTTTGAGAAAGCAGTATCTGATTGCTTGAATGGCTTGAATTTAATTTCTTTCATAATAGGAATGAGAAAACATGATAAATTTAAGGAATAACAGGCAGGGTAAAAATAGTGCCCAGTTTTCAAGCCATCTTCTGAACTTGCTTTAGGAATTATGGGACGCTGCAAACTTCAGAGTTCTTATCTGAAATGACGTGGCTGCATTCATACAACATTCTTAATCTTGTTGAAGAATTAACTCACTTTCTGGGTTTACCTCATACTTTGAAAAATATTAACTAAATATTTTTGTAGGAGAGGGAGGGACTGTTAGGTTGGTATTAGTGAGCAAAGAACTCATGGAAGAACTGTGGAAGAGAACTAGAATGGAAGAGTGTGAGACAACTAGAAAACTAAAATGCATCTAGACAGTGTTGCACTGTTGTAGTTTTGTAACTGGGTATCACCAGGGTAACTAACTGGCTAGTTGATGGGAGGTTGACAAGTTATTAAGTTTGTAGGTTTGTAATCTGTTTGTGCTTGTGATGATAGTCTGATTTGATATCACACCAGCCCACACACTGTTCCTATCCTTTAAAATATACCCTGAATGAGTTAATGACCTTGATGAAAAATCTACTTCATGACTTCAGTATCCAATGACTTCATCCTCTTTTTTCCTCCAGAGCAACGATGCCTCAGGGAGTGCTTGGAACTGGCTATACTTCATCCCTCTCATCATCATTGGATCCTTTTTTATGCTCAACCTTGTGCTAGGGGTGCTTTCTGGGTAAGTATCTAGTACATCTGCCATAGAGGAAATGTATTAGTGCTTATGGTAGCTTTTTTCAGTCCTGTAAAGAAAATACAGTTTACTGGCAATTGGATGCCCCAAATCCTGGGTTCTTTCTGCCTTTGTATTTTTTCTGTGATGCTTTCCTGCAAATTAAGTGGTGTAACAGAGACCATTCAGCATTGCTGTTCCATCTCTGACTACAGGGAGTTTGCCAAAGAAAGGGAGCGAGTAGAAAATCGGCGTGCATTTCTGAAGCTGAGAAGACAACAGCAAATTGAACGGGAGCTCAATGGCTATATGGAGTGGATCTCCAAAGCAGGCAAGTCCTATGTATCTTTTATTCTTTGTTTGCCTAGTTTATTATTTTTAATAAACTGAATTTTTGTGTCTCAGCCTGTGTCTTCTGTAGCTTTCTTTTGTTGATTGTAAACTCAGTACAAAAGTACCCCAGGGTTCTGTCCTAGACTTGGTATAATTCAAAACATTCGTACTTTTTCATAGAATGAAGAATACTCATCAGATGTGTAGATAGTATCAAACTGAGGATGTTTTGCATTGGAAATCAGGTTCAGACATTCAGCCAAGTTAAAATAAATCACAGCAGAGATCAATGTAAAATTCTGGACTCACAGATTTGAGACAGGTTTACTACAGTACATATAAAAAGATACCAGTAGGGCTTGAGATTTTATTAAATAGATTATAAATTAAGTAAATCAGTAGTACAATATCAGCTAAAAAAATAAGAAGATATATGCTAGGTTTATCTGGTCCAGCATTTTATTCCCACAATGAATGATGACTTAGGACAATGGCATCTTTTATGTTCCCCAACAGCAGGAACCAGTTTTCTGAATTTTCAGTCACATGGCTTCCTTGGATGACCCCAAGTTCTAATACACTGAAAAAAGGAGGAAAAACATTACTATTCATAACCTGTGTTCTATATATAATTTTTTTATTCCTCTTTTATGTTTCCCTGGTTTTTTTCACCATTTCCCCCCTAAGCTAACAAGTTCAGACATTGTAACATTTAATTAGAGAAAACCTCTTCAGTTTCTTGACCATTTGGCTGCTCTTTTCTAGTTTTATTCTTACAAGTATAGATACCCATTTTATAATTAGATGCAGTCTGCCTTCAGCCTGAAATAAGGTTGTAACTATTCTGAAACCAAGGCTTAATTTAGATTAACCCACCTTAGTGTCTCATGATACTTGAGTTGAGATGGCAGGGGGTGGACTAAGTAATGGTAAACTGAACCTTTTAGAAGTAAATTCACTTCTGCAGCATTATCTCTATTATTTTGGCTTGGTATTCAACTCATTTCCTCTTGATGATAGGATATTTTGCTTGGACTGCCAGCAATTGGAGATGGGTAACATATTTTTCTTAATCGCAAAAATATGTCTTATTCAAAAAATCACTATTGTATGACCTATAAGCCTAGAATTAAGATTCAAATTGACAAGAGGTTAACATTTCCAGTTAATTTTGTAGAGGTTTTTAAGTAGAAGCTTGCTGGCTATCCACTTGTATGGTGAGGCAGGGAATTCATGGTTTGATATTAAAATATTCAGTATTGGTGACCTTCTGAATAATATAATACAGAATAACAGAGTTGGAAGGGACCTTGGAGGTTTTCTAGTACAATCCCTTGGTCAAACAGGAGATCCTCTGCCATTCTGGACAAATGGCTGTCCAATCTGTTCTTGTATTTTTTAGTTTTATATTTAGCTGGATTCTGAACTGGAATAGAATGTTGATCAAAAAGTGTTTCACACCAATTATTGTTACTACTCAATTGACAGATGTGGTATATTTCTTTATTTCCAGGGATAAAGTTTTTCTTATAGCAAAACTCTGGTGTTATTATTTATTTTAATGTTTTTAACATGCTACTTTTATTCACAAAATAGGCTTCCAAGGGATATATTGTATTAAATAAGTTAATACAATAACAGAACATACTGATTTATTTATTTAGGCTTATATGTAGCTCCAATCAGTCTTATTCTGGGTGACTTACCATATTTTTCGGAGTATAAGACGCACAGGAGTATAAGACGCACCTACCTTTTTTGGTGAGGAAAAGAAGAAAAAGAAATCTCCCTCTGCCTCTGAGCAATTTTGCCTCATTGCAGCAAACAGCAAACAGCCTGCTTTACTTTCATTTTCATTTTCAGCATAGCTTGATTAGCACAAGGGGGAAAAAAAATCTGCTCCAGCCATTTACCTCTTTGCAGCAAGCAGCAGAGCCCTGCGCAAAACAGCTGAGAGTAAATCAGGTGAGAGTCGGGAGGCCAATCTAATCAACTTGTGCTAATTAGGCTGTGCTGAAGCTGAAAGGAGCTGTTTTTTCTTGCTATTTGCTTGCAAGGAGGTAACTGCTGCAAGGCAGAGGCCAAAGGGTGGGGGCCAGTGGGTGGGCGTGGCTACATTCAGCGTATAAGACGCACCTAAATTTTCACCCCCTTTTGGGGGGAAAAGGTGCATCTTATACTCCGAAAAATATGGTAAGTATTTTCCATTACAGTAAGTTTGTTAAACACAATATCTTGATGAAAATTCTCAGTCATCCAGGTAAAATTGTCTGGAAATTGAATCATGGCAACTGCATCTCTTTTCTAATTGGTTTAAAATGTTTCACTGCTGATCCAAAAACAGTCTGAGCAAGTTTGTTAAGGGGACCCCATATACGTATGTCCTCCGGGAAGATTTCATTTCTTACTGGTACTAATCTGGACAGGTTCATTAGGTAAGTATGCAGAGAGTCAATGAGATGTAAATGTCCCAGCTCCTAAACCCTTTACTCTAGGTGGATCATTAAGTGTAGCCTCTGTGACAGAAAATTCCCTCACAGTTGCTGTGCCTATTAATGGCCTTTGGCTTAGACAATTAAATAAGCCAATCAGAGAGCAGCTTCTGGCTTTGAATCTCCCGGGCTTTTCTATGCCCTCCCCTAACGGCCACTGTGACAGTATAAAAGGAGATGCTTGCTAGCAGACATTTTAAGACTCTTCGGAATCAGAGGCAGAGCTGAAGTCACTAAAGCCTCTTCCTTCTGAGGAAGAAAAGCCCGAACTCCATTCGCATAGAGCGATTGCACCAGAGAGCTGACAGGACACTTAAGAAAGAGAATGACATCTAATATTCTTTTTGAATAGACCTTGTTTTATTTTATGTAAATAAAAACAGCTTAGTGTAAACTGCTGGTGAGGCTCATTTGTTCTAGTAGATTGTAAAAGAGATAAGGTTACGGTCCATCGAGGCCCCCTCCATCACAGCCTCCCTTGTGAACCTCTGAACCTGTGAAGATGCATGAACCTTCATAGGAAGATTAAGACCACTTTAGGACCACTTGGGACCGACGAGCCTATCCAGTAGTAAGAATTGAAACTTCCCTGGAGGACATAAGTGTATGGGGTCCCTTAACCAACTTGTTCAGACTGAAGAAGCTACTTGGATAAGCAACAAAACATTTTGAACCAATAAGAGAGAAGTCAGTTGCCATGACGCAGCTTCCAGACTTTGTTAAACACAGACTAATATTAAAAAAAAAAAAACAGTATTCCACCCCTGTAGCACTACTAATTCAAGAGAATATTCAGTCTACCTCCCTCCCTTAAAGGTGTCCCTGAACACACAGGTCTTAATGGTCTCCTGGAACCTTAGAAAAGGGTAGGCAGCTGTTCTCGATGGGGAAGTGGTACATATTACTTTTATAATTTCAGGTTTTAACTAACATATTATGATTTTGCTATTGGGATTCAATTTAATTAAAGTTGTTTAACAACTGAACAGTTGTTTGGGATATTTTTTGTTCTGAAAAAATTGCTTCGTTTTTAATTTGCAAAACATTGTGCTCATTTTACAAGGATAAGCAGTGATATATTCAGTACAAATATTTTAGCATAAAAATATCTCACTGAGAACATATGTTTATTTTCCTGTGTTACCTACACAACTTTGATTACCACAAGGCGAGTCTAGACCTTTCCTTTATTTTTAAAAGATTTACCTTTATATGACTACTAATTTAATCATAAATATTTCTGAACTAAATACTTTTGCCAAGCTATTATTAATCCCAAGGGGATAAAATTAAACACAAGAAAGTGACAAAGAATTTTACCATTTGTGTGTTTCTCTCTCCATCCTATATCTCCATATTTTCATGATTGATATAAAAATGTCACAATTATATTTTCTGAACCAACGTCATTTTCTGACAGAATTTTTCTGGAACATAGCCATGAATACACAAAAATACCCATAAAATGAGATCAATAAGTTGTCTTTCTTTTCATCAGACTCTCACCTAGCTAAGGCTGCTTCGTCCAGCTCTCTTCTCTTTCAAATGGTTATTTTCAGGAAACTATTTGCTAAAGTATGTCATCTATAGCTAACCTCCTCTTTTTTTGAGAGGGGGGATGGAATTTGGCATCTTTCTACAGTTGGAAAATTACCTTTGCCTTCCTAGCTTAATTTCAGTCATTTCATTTAGAAGAAGTCATCCTGGCTGAAGATGACATCGAAGGAGAGCCTCGTCATCCCTTCGATGGTAAGCCATCATATTTCATGAAATGTTCTGTGGAAGATTTCTGAGATAGTAAAGTCACAACTTTATTTGTATGTCAACCTAATTTAACAAAAATTGTGTAAGAAACAGAGATTGAAGTGCTCCTCATTTAATGACCATTTGTTAGTCGAAGTTATGAAAGTGCTAAATGAGAGAAATTATGACTAGTTCTTGTAGACATGATCATGATTCAGGCACTTGGCAGTCAGCTCGCAGTTATGCTGGTTGTGGTGTCCTGCAGTCATGTGATCACCATTTGTGACCTTCACTACCAGCTTCTGACAAGCAAAAAAGAGAAACTGGCAGAGGGTCACAAATGTTGCCCATGTGATTTTGTGCCTAATGACCATGCAAGGTTTGCTTCACAATGGCAGATAGAACTGCTGCAACTGCTGTCGTGAGTTAGTGAGGTCACATGATATCATGCTTTATGATTGTGTCGCTTTATGACTACTGGTCCTAATACAGTATACAGTACTGGATCTGATACAATTGCATTCTCATTATATCTCAAACCCTGAGGTGAGATTGGCTCCCACCCTTCTGACTTTCCATAAGAGCCTTATGACCTGTCTCTGCCAGATGACTTGGGGCCCCAACGGGGGACTTTCACACTTGGGATGGTTGATTAATGAACAGCCAATTCCACCTCTCCCTTTCCAGCTCCCTCTTTCCCCATTTTGTAACTATGATTTTACTTTGATATTTCCATTTAATTGTATTAGAAATAGTGCCATAAGCCGCCCAGAGTCGCTTCGAAATGAGATGGGCACTAAATAAATTAAATTTAATTAATTAATTAAATAAATAATTAAATAAATAAATAAAAATACCTGTTCACAGTACCTAAAAGAGCTATTCTTGACTCACGTGGTAGCTGCATAAGTTCACAAAAATGCTCATTTGATGAAGTTGCATTACAGGATCAGCAAAGCAATGTAAGAATATGAGGCTATATTGCTGCCCCCTTTTTAACTCTTCTTTAACTGAAACATAAGTATTTTCCTGAAACCTTGCCGCTACTGTGCGAACTCAGGAAACAGCACACCTCTTTTAAGAAACTGCAGATAGGTAATGTAAAAATGCTGGTACCAGGTCTAAAGCACCTTTGCTTATCGAAGTTGTGAACACTTCACTTCTCTAATAAGGCATATTCCTTTTAATCAATAGGTATATGGTCATCATGGTGGTTAACTGTACTAGTTACTATTTAGACAAAATCAAGGCTCTTCCAAGAAGGATAGCATCCTAAAGATTAATTGTAGCCCTTGCTGTAATAAGTGTGTTAATAGAAGCTCAGGGACATACTTGTTCTATTAGCCAATGAATCAGTGGTAGCACTTACTCACTGGAAACTGGTTCTCACTGTCCACAAGTCCTTTTCTTGCTTGCATATAACTGTAACACCAACATATCTTGAGAACTTTTTTTTTTTTGCTACAGTATTTTCATGTCATAGGTTTTTCCATAGATACCAAGTGATATGATTTATTAACTATTCTATTGGTGGCATGTCATTTGATCACTAAGGGTTGAAGTTAAGTACTTATGGGCCATTCTAGACTGGTCTAGGCATGTCCCCTCTGGTCTCTGCACATATATTCTAGAGGCATTTTGATTTGGTCATGGGACAGTCTCATCCTTCTGAACCAATATCTTCCCATTATTGCCAACCCTGAACACCAGCAGTGCCAGTGAGGCGATAGGCTAAAGCAGGAAAGAATGAGCTTGCTGCCTCATGATACAAATCTTCCCTTGCCTGACAGCTATTGTTTGGGCTCCTTTTGAAGATAGTTGTGGTATTCTTCAAGAAGGCGGCTAAATACATGTCCGAACGGGCCCGATTATCTGCAGATATTAGCTGATATCAAGTTCCTTTCAAACACATCCATGCAAAAGGCTTGTGCAAAACCAGCTGAATTCTGAGAAATGAAAAAAGCCTACTTTCATTAAAAAATATTTTCTGTCTAGTCCTAGTCCACATTGAAAGCAGTTGGTAGATTATTTTTATCCTGACTACAATCATTTAGTGGAAAGGGAGTGGGAAGGCCAGGATAATAACCCTGCATCTATACATAATAATGATTGTATAATTTATCTGCCATGTGCTTGTGGCTGGCCAGGGGTTGCTAACGTGGACAGAATTTTTGTCAGTATAGTTTCCTGCCAGCTCAAAGTAGGGGAATAGCATTAATTTTGCAGTGAGAAAGAAACCTGGGACAAATTCCCACTTTTCATACAAGCCAGCAGAGCACCAATTTTGTTTATAAAAATGCAGTTTGATGAAGGCACAGTTACCTGCCTGTACCATTTTTGCATTTCAAAGCATTTACAAATCCTTTTCATCTCATAGGCCTCTATGCTTGTTTGTCCACACAGAGGCCCATCTGGAATATGAAGGAGGGAAAAACTACCTTTGTTTAAGAAGAAGGCAGTTTAGAATTTGAAAAAAGGTGTGCAAAGAAAAAAAACATTTGCCTTCTCTTTAAGCCACTCCCTCTCAAAGCTGTTTTTCCTATTGTCAAAGATCTGTAAGGTTTCAAAGAACAACCTTATCTGAAATATTTTCCAATGAAAGCCAGTTTGATCTAGTGGTTAAGGCACCCAGCTAGAGAATGTGAGTTCTAGTCCTGCTTTATGCATAAAAGTCAGCTGGGTCATTCGGGCCAGTCACTCTCTCTCAGCCCAGCATGTCACAGGGTTGTTGGGGATATAGGAGAAGGAAGGAATATTAGGTATGTTTGCTGCCTTGAGTTATTTATTTTAAAAAATAATAATAAAAGTGGAATACAAAAGAAAAATAATCTTAGGCTAGCTCCTGTAAAATGAACAAATAGATGTTTTACTTCCATTTCCTCCCAGCTCAGGAGAATGTAAATTACATGATGATGATAATTTATTTATGAATTCATGAATAAAGGATGGAAGGCACCAGTTCAATGATAAGTACCTTAGAAGCTATCAGTGCAGGACCAAAGAAAAAGTCAATGTAATATGCAATAAATATACTTTAAGTATATAAAATTGAAACAGAATTTATATAACAGTAGCAACAGCAACATCAAAATCATCATGTAAGCCTGTTATCTAATAACTACAGCAATTACATTCCAAAGGTCTTCTGGAATTATGGTCTAGAATGTACATTGGGGAAGGTAGCATTATGGTAAATGATTAAAAAAAGATCTAGTGAATCTGAATCTGATAAAGGGCCTTGAGGATAATGTCTGTTTTTCTTGTCATGTTCCTATTGTTGGAGCTCTTCGGAGGGCGACCATCAAGAAAAGCAAAACAGACTTGCTGAACCCAGAGGAAGCAGATGACCCACTGGCAGACATCTCTTCAGTAGGTAGGTTGGTCAAAAGAGGAGTCAGGGAGTCCTTGACTTATAACTATTCGTTTGTGTCCATTCAGAGTTACAACTATACTGAAAAAAGTGACTTATGACGTTTTTCACGTGACCATTGCAGCATCCCTAGAGCCATATGATCAAAATTCAGATGCTTGGCAATTGGTTCATATTTATGATGATTGCAGTGTTCCGGGGTCTTTTGGTGACCTTCTGACAAGTAAAACTAATGGGGAAGCCAGGGTCACTTAACAACTGTACTTTATACTAACTTAATAACTGCAGTGATTTGTTTAACAACTATGGCAAGAAAAGTCGTAGAATGGAGCAAAAGTCACTTAATAGCTGTCTCGCTTAACAACAGAAATTTTGGACTCAATTGTGGTTGTAATACAAGTACCACTTGTGGTCTTTAATCTTTTCAAATCTGGAAAACCTGATCAAATTTTGAACCCA